TATAAAAAAAAAATTCACTTTAATGGACAATTTTCGTATAAAACGAAGCCAAACGAACACTAAATTTTGATGAAAAAATAGTTTTCGAGCAAAAAAAATTTTTTTTTTACTTTTTGGCAATGTTAACAAATTTCATAACCAATTGTAAAAAAAAAAATTCATTTTAATGGATAATTTCCATGTAAAATAAAGTCAAACATGAACATAAAGATCCAAACTTTTAAAAATTTTCCAAGTGGAAAATATACAAATTAAACACACTTAATTACAATTCTCAGTAAAACATTTTCTAGGAAATTTTTTTCCCTATACATTTTCTTTCTACCCATTTTCCACATTTACAATCAAACGGACCCTTAGAGATTGTATGAGAGTTAAGGGAGGTAATAGGGAGATGTAGGTTTGAATTTCAAGTTCCAACCACTCTCTCCGACCACTTTCACGTCTTAAGCATAAGGTCACCGCACATGACGAACCACAACCCATATTTTTCATCTCATGCTCGCAAATGATGTGCTTGACCTAAACCACAAGTGAGAACGAATATCACATGTTATATCCTTCTCAAGGTATATCTCATAAAAATTCATACGATAAATAGATCGTGGATCGGTGAGTACATATTAGAGTTCACGATACTGTAAACTTGTTAGGGATATATAAAAGATCTACTAGACAAAAATCACATCACCATACATCCCAAACTCATTTTTCAACATTAATTCAAGCATTCGTATCCCTCGAATATTCATGTAACATGCTTGAACTTCATATTGTATACTTGTATTCACAATTATTTATAGACCCTAAATGGATAACACAATTGTACGATCAGTTAATACAAACAAAAATGTTGTTCAAAATGATTTTTTTTTTTTTTTTTTTTACTTAATTCGTTTAACTTTAAACTTACTTATTTTCTAGACATGTCCCCATCAAATCGAATCGATCGTAATTATTGGTATTTGGTAACATGTTATAGTAAGACTCAAATAACATTTCGAGAAACAGTTAAAAGTCATAAATGTATTGATCGCAAAAGCACACGTGTTATATAAACATGTTATATAAACCTCAAGGTATTGATCGCAAAAGCACACGTGCATGAAATATGTGATATGATAGTTTCTCCTTTTCTTATGACGTATGTAATATTCTTTAAAATTTAAATAACACCATATAGATTCTAATTCAGATTGATACCTAACTTGAGTTTTCCTAATATTCATCCCTTCAGGATATCTCAAACTAGGAACTCGATCGGACTATTAAATATGTATAATAGATAGTAAAATCTATTTTGATAACTTATGGTAATCTTATCTTGATATTTCATCAAGGCAATCGGATCATGTTTACAACACGATCACTTATCTCATCTCAGTAATCCTGAAATTATTTGAGGTGATTGCTTGTGTGAGTGAGCCAATCTTAACATATTCGACATACTTTATATTTGCATATAAATAATCATATGGTAATCACGATGATAGATTGCACATGAGCTCAAAATTGTTCATTTATGGGCATAAAAAAAAAAACTTAATCAAAGGTTCTTAGATACACAAAGTATCATATTTTACACAATTCTAAAGATTCAATAACTCCAACAAAGATATTTTTAAGGGTGTGTTTGAGACATATTATTTTGAAAGAATATATTTTGAAATAGTAGATTGATGGAGAATGTGTAGTTGAAAAAGAAGGAAAATTTATTGATGTGATAGAAAATATTATTTTATTGAAAAATGTGTGCTTGAAAATAAGTAGAAGAATGAAAATAAAAATTTTAATGTGGTTCAAACGGGGATAAGAATAAGAATTTTACACAAATAACTTTTATATGTACTATCGTAACTTTTCACAATCTTAAACATTTAAGGGTGTGTTTGATGAATATTATTTTGAAAAAATGTATTTTGAAATAGTAGATTGATGGAGAATGTGTAGTTGAAAAAGAAGGAAAATTTATTGATGTGATGAAAAATATTATTTTATTGAAAAATGTGTGGTTGAAAATGAGTAGAATAATGAGAATGAAAATTTTAATGTGGCCCAAACATGGACTACATATTTTCAGAGCATGATGATTATATAACTTCATTTGCGTACACATAGGTAAAGATACTTTCCTTGCTAATGTTTCTCACAAAAATATCATTGAGCGTTTGCTTTCATCATGGCACTTGAAATACGTATTTGTGATTGTGATCTCGTGTTAGTTGTGATTATTATTTGATCGTGACAATAAACCATGTTATTGTGAATGTTGCCTATTTAATTAAATTATGAGTTACAATATTTTATTTGATGTCACAAAATATGATCACCTGATTTTAGAAAAAAAAATTATAATTTTTTTTTTAAATTTATTGTGAAACATTTATAATTATGTATTTTTTCCGTTTTATATTTTTGACAGAATGCAAAAATAATCCCTAAATAAAAAATGGCCCAAGCGTATATGCTTCACTTTTAGGCCCAAGAAAGTAATGGGCCATCCCAGGGAAACTATGATTTCCCATGGGCCCTCCAACATACTCAAATAAAGGAAAAGACCGGAAAATATTGCACAAAAGGTTTTTAAAGACGAAGATAAAAGATTGGAGCTGAATTAGTTTGCTACATCGACTTACAACATATGTATAAAAACTAAATCTATAGTTAAAAGATTAGATAAGTGCTCTTATGTGGTAGATGAATGTCGTGTATAGACTCAAAGAATCCATTATTTATACGAGTATTGCAATAGAGGTAGAACATGTGGTACAACCAATTAAAAGTCGACGTACTTGGCCCTCATGATAGTTC